ATCCATTCATCCATCCATCAATGCATCCATCCATCCATCCATCCATCCATCAATGCACCCATCCCTCCATTCATCCATCCATCCATCCATCCATCAGTGCATTCATCAATGCATCCATCCATCCATCCATCCATCAATGCATCCATCCATCAATCCATCCATTAATCCAATCTATTCATTTCTGTCCTTCATATGTTACACACGCGCATAGCTCCTCGATCCAGTTCATTCATCCATCCGCAGATCCGTTCGTTCCCCCTTTCATTCATTCACTCACAACTGGATTCCTTCATTCACCCAGTGATTTATTCTTTCGTTCATCCATTCATATGTCCAATTTTTCATCCATTCAGGGCACCCACGATCATTCGTTGGTTCGTTCAGGTCATCTGTTCATATTCGTTACCACATGCATAAATGCATTCATCCACATCCACTTGTCGGTTCCTTTGTCCTTTCATTTATCCTTTTTTTTATACGTTCAATCATTCATCCATTCAGGGCACCCACGATCATTCGTTCGTTCAGGTCATCTGTTCATATTCATTACCTCATGCATAAATTGCATCCATCCACATCCACTCGTCCGTTCCTTTGTCCTCTCATTTATCCTTTTTTTTCCTGGCATCTTTATTTTCTTTCGTTTTTCAGTTATGGAAGAGCGACGGCTTAAACCACCAGTACTTGGCCCAGCTATCGATCGCGGACATAAATAAAGAGTAGGAAAACATTTCTAGTTGGATGAATTTGGGCGCTCCTGTAGTGGCCCCTACGTTTCCTCGAATCCTGGCTTGTTAACGGGCACGACTTTAGGGAGTGTACTGCAGTGGTTTAAGATATCATTATTGAACTGATCGGCCCGGGTATTCAGAATTGCTTTACTATGTTCACCTGATTTCATCTGGAGTCGAACTTGGGTCTGCATTTCAACAGCTCAGCGGACGTACCGACCGACTGAGCTATGCCCGTTGGTGCATTTACTAATAATTTTTCTACCTCGCTTATTGCAGGTTTGACAAGGAACCCGACAACAACACCACGCTGGGTTTTCTTCGACCAACCTTCAATCAGCGAATTTCAAAAAGTCATCAACACACCACCACCAACGAGCCTATAGCTCAGTTGGTACACCCAACCAACTGTTGAAATACTCACCCAGGCTCGAACATAGATGCAATCAGATGAACACTGAAGTACAGTGAAAAAAAAAAAAAAAAAGTTAAACCACTTTTGCCACCGAACCTGAAAATTTGACTGCGCACCGAGTTTTGTCGAGCCTGCGTCCCATTGTATTCTATTTTCTGGTACTCACGGCCGTTACATCAGAAAAGGAACAAGAAACAACCCAAAAAAAAAAAAAGAA